TGATCCTACCATGAAGGTCCTTGTGCAGACACTTCTGTAGGGTGACAATGTTCTGTCCCTGAAACCTAACTGTACTTTTGTGTTGTCACCCTGCCACACAGGCTTCTGATGGAGACTACATACACACTAGACATGTGTGATTCGTTTCGTTCCGAATCGAGATTCGGACGAATTTTCAGAAATTCGGACATTCGCATGTATCCAAAATCCGAATTACATATATAACGAATGCAAACGAATCCGAATTTCCGTTTCCGAAATTCGTTAGCGGTAGTTCGTTCGAACGTTCATTTCGTTTTCGTTTCTTATTCTTTTCGTTCGTTGCAGCAAAGTGCCTTTAGAGAAGGAGAAAAACATTTTTTTCCCCTTAAATCTCACTTTGTTGCCAACGAATGAACGAATAAGAAACAAAAACGAAACGACCGTTCGAACGAACTACCGCTAACGAATTTTGTCCGAATCCTAATCCGAATTGACTTTCACACCCGAACCCCGAAAAACTAAATAACACAAATCCGAATCAAAACAAAACACATTTTTTGCCAGTGCACACGTCTAATACACACTGCACACATTACACTGGCATGGTCCACTGTTGTCACCATCAGGAACCAGTATGCAACACCCATATGTTAACTAAGCCACATGAACTCAGGGTGAAGATGCAAACAGTCCTGGCTAAGAGCAGGACTCGTGACACCAATGCTGCAAGACCACAGAGCTGCCCATTGAGCTACTGTGCTGAGTTTTTGCTAATATATATGATGTTCCCCATTCTTCCCTCCAGTTATAGGAGTCCTTATATGCTCCAGTGCGAAAGGTAAGTGAGGAAAGTCTCATTCCCATTGTCTACACATGGCACCTTATTTTGCATATGTGACATAATCTTTGGCAGAATGTTTGAGCCGCCCAGCCGCTGCTGCGCACAATACTAATGCTAAAAGGTGAAGTCACAGCCTGGCAGGGGCTCTTGAAGGGAAGATTGTGCCAGCGTGAAGGAGGCCGTGCCAGGGGTAAATAAGAGTGACTAAGATTTCAGTAATTCCACTTCAACAAGTAAACTGCTCGGCATCTCAGCAGCAGAGTGTATGCAGCTATAGTGCTGCACGCAGTATAGAAGATGCGAGGTCTGCTTAACGAGACCCTGTCACCAACTTACAAAAACTGCTCAGGAAAAATCAGGTATTTGAAATACTTATTGGCAGGGCCGGGTTTACTGTCTCTGCTGCCCCGAGGCCAGGTTCCTCAATGCACCCCCCACACTCTCAGTGTGGAGAATGGCAGACCTGCAGGCTGCATACAAGTGATCTCGGCGACATCGCCGGGATCACTTGTACAAAACAAGCGGTGGCTTCCCCGCTGTACATTTAGCTCTGCTTGCCCAAAGCCGGGCTAAATGTAGATAACTACCCGCCCGGAACTGCATTTCCTGGGCATCGGGAGATAGGAATTCTACACCCCTGCTGCCCCTCTACTCCCTGCTGCCCTAAGGCCGGGCCTTGGTTGGCCTTGTAGGAAATCCGGCCCTGCTTATTGGAGAGTTTTTCCTTTTATTCATTAATAATATATATTGACTTGCCTTTAAATTTGCAAGAAAATGTGACTACTCCAGGAAGGGTCGATTCCCTTGCAAACCCCCTCCCTCTTTGCAGGTCATAGCCCTCTCCTCTTCTGGGGGTGTCTAATTACTCTCTGTGCTGATCCAGCTCTTCCGCCCCTCAACTCCCTATATAACCTTTGATGTAGCTGCCAGGGGAGAAGCGTTGGGGAATACTATAGAGCAGTGGTAGGCAAATGTCCCACTGTGGCGAAACTGCAAATCTCATCATGCATCTGCCTCTGGATGTCATACCTGCAGCTGTCAGAGTCTTGCAGTGCCTCATGAGATTGATCGTTTCCTCACTGCCGGAGGGCCAAATTTGCCTATTTCCCCAGCTAAAGAGTGTCATTGAGTCTGCTGGAGCCACTGGCATCACATCCAAGATGGCGGTGCCCAGCAGAAGTCTCGGGTTTCTTGTATGTCTACACACGGGAGGCTTTTACAGGTAAATAACATACATGGAAAATATTTTTTAAAAATGTAAATGGTCTGGTGACAGGGTCTCTTTAATGTGAACCCATCACTAGGAAAAATGTACGAAATGCCCCATATTCACTATTATTTACTATTAGTGTGTTGACCTACATTGTGACATTTCTTGGAATGAACTCTTTCACAGTGTGTGTTAAAACACATCTCGAACACACCCAGCAAACCACATTGAAACACTTTAAGGTTGTACAATGGCATCTATTAGTTAGATATCCCTGCAAAGTGTGCCCCCACACACACACACACACACACAGGTACCTAAAAAAAAGATCATTGTGCCCAGTGGTAGCTCATCATAGAGACAGAATGTGTTCATTGCTCAAACAACCCCATGTCTCCTCCAGAGGAACCCTAATCTTCTACAGAACCCTAGTTGAGAAAGGAACCCTGGTTGCAGTGACCCATCGCATTCAGTGTGTTCAGTGAAAATGTGGCCCCTTACATTGGTGGTTATTGGAGAAGTTCCCTTTACAATGGTGGTCAGTGAATGGCCATAATACAAGAGGGGTGAGTGAAAATAAATGCTCCTTACATTGCTGCTTCGTGGGGAGAATGCCCCTCCTTGAGATACCCAAAAAGGTCATTGTGGCCAGTGGTAGCTTATCATAGAGGCAGAAATTGGCCATTGTTTGGGAACCCTTAGCAACTTCTAGAGCAGTGGTTCTCAACCTGTGTAACCTCAGGACCCACATTTGTCCTTGGTCATTAGGTCGCGACCCAAGTCGCACTGCAATGGAACGCACATCATTGCGGTACCGTGCGTTTCGGTGTGGGCGATCAAACTTTGGGTGTGAGGTGCATTTGGGGTGCCGTTCAAAAAATCCACCCAGTCCCCATACCTTATAAGAACTGGAGTTGATCCTCAGCCTGGGGCCCAGTGTGGGCTGCTGTGCTGTGACAGAGCTCCATGCATATGTGCAATGCTTGTATAGCTCCCTTTGCATGCCCTGTAGAGGTGCCGGGAACCAGAATGTGACATTACTCTTGTCCAGGCACCTCTATAGGACACGTGAGGGGGCTGTACATATGGATGCAGCTCCATCACGGCCATAGCCCCAGCCCATCCCAACTTAAGCTGACACTCGGCACCGGGCAGCATATTTTAAATGGCTGTTTAGCGCGCAAGAACTGACAGTGATGCAAAAGGAGGCGGCTGAGGAGCCTCTCACCTGGAAAAGTGGAAGGTACGTGGCTAACGTGGCGACCCACAGAACATGGGGTCATGACCCACCAGTTGAGAACCATGGTTCTAGAGGAACCCTAGAGTTCTATGGGACCCTGGTTGTATTGCTCCCTCACATTCAGTGAATTCAGTGGAACATGACCCCCTTACATTTACAATTAATGGAGAAGTTCCCTTTTACACTGCTGGTCAGTGAAGGGTCCTAGGATACTGGTGGTAAGTGGAAGGAATCTCCCTTTCATTAGTGGCCAGTAGGAAGAATGCTCCTTACATTGGAGGTCATTGGGAAGAATGTTCCTTACATTGGAGGTCATTGGGAAGAATGCTCCTTACATTGGTGGTCAGTGGGAAGAATGTCCCTTACATTGGTGGTCAGTGGGAAGAATGTCCCTTACATTGGTGGTCAGTGGGAAGAATGTTCCTTACATTGGAGGTCAGTGGGAAGAATGTCCCTTACATTGGTGGTCAGTGGGAAGAATGTCCCCCTTACAGCCAATGGTAGCTTATCACAGAGACAGAAACTGAGCATTGCTTAAGGAACCCCTAGCAACCTCTGGAGGAACCCTAGCATTTTACAGCACCCTGGTTTCGGTGCTCAGTGAATTTGGGGAAATGTGACCCCTTCCATTTATAATTAGTGGAGAAGTTCCCATTTACACTGGTGGTCAGTGAAGGACCCGAGTATACTGGTGGTGAGTGGAAGGAATGCTTCTTACATTGGTGGTCAGGGAGTAAATGCCCCCCTTACAGATACGGGCAGCTCCCGGGAAGAACAGGTGCTGCATGTGATTAGTACGCAGCCCCTGTCCTTCTGTATGGGACTACGTGGTCGTACGCCCCCCTAAGCTCACCTCAAGTGCAGGTCCGTAGGGGTGCGTGTTTCCTGGCTCAGACGCAGACAGGATCCATCCTGTCAGCGTACGAGTACGCTCACCCACACAGACGTGCAGGGCGGATGAGCGTAGGGCGGCGTATGGCCAGGTAGTGCCATAAAGAAGGACAGGCGCTGCGTACTAATCACGCAGCACCTGTCCTTCCCGGGAGCTACCCAATACAGCCGTGCACGCAGCATGGATCTGTGCGTGCCGGCAGATTGTCGTGTGAATGAGGCCTACAGGACAATTCTCAACCAGGGGTCCTCTGGAGGACCCCTGGTTGAGAATTGAACCCTGCTCCTTACATTGGTGGTCAAGGAGTGAATGCCCCCCTTACAGATACGGTTACAGGATCATTGTGGCCAATGGTAGCCTCTCATGGAGCCAGAAACTGAGCATTGCTCTAGGAAACCCAAGCAACCTCTGGAGGACCCCTGGTCGAGAACGGCTGCTTTAGGTCTATACATAAAATAACCTGCTTTGGGGGGCTAAGAGGCAAATGTGATCATATAAAGCGGTGCACGGTACAATGAATGAGCAGAGATTGAGACTAGCTCTGGCTGTGTGACCTGTCCCCTAGTTCTGATCACTTTCCAGCAGGACAAAGTCTCTTTGTATCAGAAAGAGGAAGGAATAAGGAAGACTTGGACTCACCTGCGTCTCACCGACTCTGCGAGATAAGTGTCCCTGTTGGGGTGGCTGCCCAGAGCCTGCCACAGACCTGGGAGAAGACGTTCCCACCTCTCGCTCCGCCGGCTTATCTCCACAATCCTTTTTTCATAGCTGTGGGGTGTATCCTGCCTGCTGGTGCCCTGCCAAGAACTGGGAGTGGGCGAGACCTGTCAGTGTGTCAGTGCATGCGGCTGATACCTGCGTTTGCTCTCAGCACCTGAGCACAGTCCACGCCGTTCCCTTCTCCCGGGCCCTGGGAGGGAGCAGATGGGCCATAGCCGTCCTGTCGGGAGGGGGGTTGCAGACAAATGGGGGCAGATCATTTCTCCTTTCTCTTAGGTATAACCTTTGATATAGAAGTCATTGTTCTACAGATCATGTTACACCCAACCTGCCACCACGTGTAATGTTCCTGCAAAACAACATACAGCCAGCGCCAAGTGCTCACAGCTGAACTCAAGGCAGAGGTATATATATATACACTATATTGCCAAAAGTATTGGGACACCCCTCCAAATCATTGGATTCAGGTGTTCCAATCACCTCCATGGCCACAGGTGTATAAAATCACGCACCTCGGCATGCAGACGCTTCTACAAACATTTGTGAAGGAATGGGTCGCTCTCAGGAGCTCAGTGACTACAAGCGTGGTACCGTGATAGGTTGCCACCTGGGCAGTAAGTCCATCCGTGACATTTCCTTGCTACTAAATATTCCGCGGTCACCTGTTACTGGTATTATAACAAAGTGGAAGCAACTGGGAACAACAGCAACTCAGCCACGAAGTGGTAGGCCACATAAAATGACAGAGCGGGGTCAGCGTATGCTGAAGCGCACAGTGCGCAGAAGTCGCCAACTGTCTGCAGAGTCAATAGCTACAGACCTCCAAACTTCGTGTGGCCTTCAGATTGGCCCAACAACAGCGCGTTGAGAGCTTCATGGAATGGGTTTCATTGGCCGAGCAGCTGCATCCAAGCCGCACATCACCAAGTGCAATGCATAGCGTGGGATGCCGTGGTGTAAAGCACGCCGCCACTGGACTCTAGAGAAGTGGAGACGTGTTCTCTGGAGTGACCAATCACGCTTCTCTGTCTGGCAATCCGATGGGCGTGTCTGGGTTTGGTGGTTGCCAGGAGAACGGTACTTGCCTGACTGCATTGTGCCAAGTGTAAAGTTTGGTGGAGGGGGGATTATGGTGTGGGGTTGTTTTTCAGGGGTTGGGCTTGGCCCCTTAGTTCCAGTGAAGGGAACTCTTAAGGCATCAGCATACCAAGACATTTTGGACAATTTCATGCTCCCAACTTTGTGGGAACAGTTTGGGGATGGCCCCTTCCTGTTCCAACATGACTGCGCACCAGTGCACAAAGCAAGGTCCATAAAGACATGGATGAGGGAGTTTGGGGTGGAGGAACTTGACTGGCCTGCACAGAGTCCTGACCTCAACCCGATAGAACACCTTTGGGATGAATTAGAGCGGAGACTGCGAGCCCGGCCTTCTCCTCCAACATCAGTACCTGACCTCACAAATGGTCCAACATTCCCATAGACACACTCCTAAACCTTGTGGACGCCTTCCCAGAAGAGTTGAAGCTGTTATAGCGGCAAAGGGCGGAGCCAACCCAATACTGAACCCTACGGACTAAGACTGGGATGCCATTAAAGTTCATGTGCGTGTAAAGGCCGGCGTCCCAATACTTTTGGCAATATGCTGTATATATATAGCTTTCTATCTGTGAACGTTCGCTCTGTGTGGATATATGCCAAAGCGAAATTTCTTTTGTTGTTTCTTTAGGAGGAAATTTATTTTTTTAATGTTTTTCATGTAATATCACATTATGGCCATTGGGTGGCAGAGTGGAGCATAGAAAGTAATACGTATTTCATGTGCTCCTTTGGCTCCATCTAGTGGCCGTCGTGCGCTATTACATGAAAGCGTTTGAAAATGTAAAAAAACGAAAGAACATTCGTTTTGGCATGTGTTTGCACCGAGTGAACATTACTTCTCACAGAGATCACAGTACTCCCCCGGACAATGCCTTCATCTGATTTTCTGTCCATAGGGACGGAGCTATCTGTGTTCAGGCATCATCCAAGGTCGCCAGCTACTTCGTGGGCTGAGAGGCCGGCTCAGAGATGACACAGTCGTGTAAGTCCTGGTGTCTGGGAAGTTCTTGGATGTGTTCACAAATGTCTGACACAGATCAACCCCCTGCTGGAGCCTTTCATCTTGTGACTGACTACAAACTTACAACGTACCGTCTGACCATGAGGGGAGAGGAGACTGAGGAAATGCTTCCTCTTGCCTGCAGCAGACTGATGACATCATCTCAGCCTAAGCAAAGTCACTGGACTGCAGCTTAAAGTGTAACTGAAGCCCAAACATATTTGTTTAGTTTTGGATGGAGTGGAGAGGGATTGGAACCTCTGTCAGGTTTTTATTGCTGCCTGCGTCCTCGTTAGGGAGATTCGCCCTCTATTCCAAATTTTGGGTTGTCACCAGAACAGGAATGGATAGGAAATCTTCCAATGGGGACACTAGTTCTGGTGACCCTGCTGACCACCGGGGACGTCCTCTCACTTCCTGTTGTGTCTAGCAGACAGGAAGTGAAGGGAAATCTCCCTAATTGGACACAGGTGGTGAAATTAAGCTGATAGGGGTCGTACCTTTCCCTTACTCTACCCAAAAATAATAATAATAAAACGTTTTGGCTTCAGTTCTACTTTAAGGGCCGGTTCACATCATAAACAGTGCGTTCCAAAACAGTCAGCTGCTGGAACGCATTGTATCGCATCCCGGCTGGCTTCCTGTGGTCAGGGGAGGGAGGGGGCACCGCAGCCATGACCGCAGTGTGATTTCCCGCACCAGAACGCATGAAACGTGAGTGCCTGGGTTCCGGTCCAGTGCCTGGTGCCAGCGATCGCACTGCGGGTGGGGGGCGTGGCTATGGTACCATTGACTTCAATGCAGTGCCATGCCCCCTGAGCACAGGAAGGCGGCTGGGATGCGATACAGTGCGTTCCAGCAGCTGACCACTCTGGAACGCACAATGAAAACGTCTTCTGCGCTCCCGCAATAGATCTGGCCTCCTATGTACCAGACGGGCGTCGCGGCACAGAAGGCGTTAACAGGATCCGAGCCTATGGAAGGTTCCCAAGGAAACCCCTTTGAGTGTATTGTTGGGAGGTGGGTTCCTCCTTTGTGCGCTCTGTGAAAGGTTTCGCCGGCCAGCCTCTGTCTATAGTGGAATGCAGTGAATACATAGTGTAAAGTAAACACATATTCACAGACTTGTACCAACATCTGCCCCGGGGCGGGGGGCACGCCGCAGACGTTTATACCTTGTATATGTAAAAATAAACTCTTTGTGTTTGTTTACAATGTAACGTCGGATCTTCCTCATGTCGCGGTTTTCCATCCAGAGGTGTCTGTTCACAAGGTAAAATGTTTTCGTTAAAAGGAGATGAGCCCTGATCACTGAGGCTGAGCTCATTCATTCATACGTGCACCACAACACATAGTGACGCACTGACATGCGTTGTGGTGTGATGTGTTGCAACAGGCAACTCTTTGATGTGTTTTGGTGCTTTTAAATGAATGGCGACCCTAATGCAAAATGCGTTAAGCAGCGGCATAACCCGCATTAGACATGCAAGCTATATTTTATTTCGGGATTCGGATCCGAAATTCAATTCGGTTCGGGTTTAGGATTCGGACGAGATCCGAATTTTCGTTAGTTTCGGATGAGCTTACGAATATTCGTTGCCACAGAAAACCATCTACTCCCCGACCCGAATGGCATTCAGGATCCGAATTTCCGAATTGCACTGGGGAGCTCCCGGACGCCATTCGGGTCAGGGAGCCTCAGCTTCAGTAATATATGTATATGGCTCCCTGAACTGAATCGGACATGTGACTTTTCTGGCCAATCAGATGTGTTTTTCGGTTTAATGCATCCGAATGGGTCTGAACATGTATTTTTGTTACGGCAACATAAGAGCCATGTACAGTATATACATATCATACTACAGCTGAGGCTCCCAGACCCGAATGGAAAATCATGTTTAGAGCGGATTGGCCAGAAAAGTCACATGTCCAATTCAGTTTAGTTTTTGTACGAAATTCGGACGGGATCCGAAATTCAGAAACTAAGTTTCGGATTCGGACACATTGGGATTCGGAACGAAACAATTCGCACATGTCTAACCCGCATTAATGCATGTGCGTTCAGTGCACTGCAACAGCTTAACCCAGCCTTACCCTAAGGCACGCATTGTAGCACCTCGCGGTAATGCATGCAACTTGCGTCACAACTAGGGATGAGCTTGAAACTAGGTCCGACCCTGAGCACCTTCCATGCCGCCCAATCAGCTGCGACTGGGGAATTACCTGCCTGCACCTTGACGTAAGCAATGGGAGGGGATGCAAGAAAGTGCCGTGGGCCTCCCGCCCCAATCAGCTGCAGGTCAACATTCCTCACTGCAGCTTGATGTAAGCATAGGGGCGGGGTGCAGTGATGTCATTGACCTTATTTGGCTACATGCCTATAATTGGTGATTTAAAGTGACCTAATATGGATATGTGGCCATATAAGGTAAATGATGTCAGCAAAAGCATCCTGACCCATTTCTTACAAGAAGGGGGGGGATGGCCGGCCTGCTGCTGATTGGACGGGGGGCTCGTGGCACTTTCTTGTTTGGAGGAGCTCAGGTTTGGAGCGGGTGCGGTTCTAGCCACAATGGTCAGCAACTCTCGGTAGATCTTCGCAGTTTGCTGTGTTTCGATGAAAGATTTTCTGCAATCACAGGGAGCATTAGCAGACCATTCGTTTCAATAGAATGTCTGAACACAATGTACAATAACACGCAACATAAAGCACATGTGCGTTATTACATAGGGAAGAAGTAAACATGCTCATAAATCTCATAATTCCTTCAACATCATAATGTTATTTGTACAGTCATGTTCAATGGTAATCTGCAGCTTTCATCAAAATAACCTCCGGCGGTCCTGCCCTGAAGACACTCATGGGGGGAAGGGGTGCTTGTTCTGTGAATATCTGTGAACATTCACTCCGTACATTTCAATGCCAAAACGAGCGTTTTCAGTTTCTCTTAACACGTAGAATGAATTATTGAATGTTTTCACGTAATATCACATTATGGCCACTAGATGGAGCCAAAGGAGCAGAGGAAATAAGAATTTATACTCTATGCTCCCCAGCACCATCTAGGGGCTAAAATGTAATATTACATGAAAAAATATCTAAACTACATTCACCTGTAAAGAAAAAAAACTGGAAGAACGTTTATTTTGGCAAATATATGTACTGAGCAAATGTTAACAGATATTTGCATGGTGTTACTTAGGGTGATCTGCATGCAAATACCGCCTGTCTAGGAATGCCCACTCCTCCAGACTGACACCCACTCATCAACACATATTGATATTTGCATGACTCCTCCCAAAAGACAGCCCACTGCTTCCTTCAGAGCTGAGGGTTCTTGAGGTGGTTCAGAGGCAGGGTGCTGTGATGTTTTCAGGAAGCTACATACAGCACCCTGTTGGCCCCTCCCAGCCGTCATGATCTTCTTGCATTGCATACAGAAGCATAGGGATCCAGTGATGACATCACTGGGTATAAAATAAGGTATGTAATGAAAATGGAAAGGAATTATTTAATAATATCATGATCATGTTGATGGGGGTGGGGGGAACCAGGGAAGGAATAATAAAAACTTCACCTTTAAACACTTACATCCTGCTTGTGGAAAACAAAGTTTTTGTTCCCTTCCACAGCTGATTGTACAAAACACACTTATTATGGCGTGCTATGACAATAAAGATTCAGGTGTCTCATTGTGAGGTTGGCTGTGTCCGGGCACGTCCCGGGTGAACTGCTTTTCCAGGGATGTTCAGCGGAAAAAAAAAGAGACAGAGGAGAAGAGACGTGAAAAATGACAAACAGAAGCCTTGATCTCAGAGAACCTCCCTCGTCCAATCACAGCAGAGATGCTGGAAAGGTTTAGAGCGATGTGATTCTTTGTTGACTTTACTATGCTGCCCCCTGCAGGGCATTCTGGGGTATTGCAATATTTCCTGCATGTGGAAAATGATTTAGAGGGTTATTCACTCAGCTGCCGAAGGCAGTGAAGTGAAGTGAGCCAAACGTACGGCTTTTCACTTCTGGCTTGTACGGTTGATTTCAGCCATACATCGGCAAAAATCAGCCATACATCGGCAAAAATCAGCCGTACATCGGCAAAAATCAGCCGTACATCGGCTACCTTCGGCTGAGCTGAAGTGGAGGACATCTGGATCGGCTGAGTCGAAGCTCCGGAAGCTCACTCCCTGCCATTCGCTCCTATTCTCATAGGGGCCGACCGGCAGTGAGTGAATAGCCGAATGCCGCCGAGAGGCATTCGGCTCGGCTATTCTGCTCGGTACCTCCGTGGTACCGAGCAGAATAGAAGATCAGTGAAAATAGTAGACGGAAAAAAAAGGTTGAAAAAATGTAAATAAAAATAGTAAAATTCAAAAATAAATAAAGATTGAAAAAGTGACAGCTAGCTCCACCCAACTGTTTTCTATTGGCCGGCACCTGCTAGAGTCTTCTAGCAGGTCCCGGCCAATGAATAACAACTGGGCGGAGCCGGCCATGACATCACGGCCGGCTCCGCCCAGTTGTTATTGTTTAATGACAGATCAGCGTCCCCCGCTCAGTTGGGGACGCTGATCTGTCATTAGAACGGGGCTGAGCGAGCCGTGAGATCACAGCTGGCTCCGCCCTGCTGTCATTTGCCGAAGTCGAGCCGAAGCATATGCCTGAGCCGCTCGCCCGCCTTCGGCTGCTGTACAGGCTATAGTGAATAGCCCTTACAGCAGCCCTTTGGCTACAACTAAGGCCCAGTTTGGGGGCTGAAACATGTAAGCAATGGCTTGTTTGCTGCTGTTATACCTTTTTACAAATAAAGTCCTGGATGGACGGATCCCCTTGCCAGTGCCGGTTATTTATCTACAGCTATACATCCGCACCTACTTATTAAAATAAATAAAAATGACCCCAAACCATTGCAATGCCCCCTTATTATTATTCCCGATGGGACAAAGAATGATCTGTGTGTATATTTGATTGGAGGAGAATTCTACAATATATAAAATACTATTACTGGTCTCGTCATTTCTGGAATCTGCTCCTTTTACTGATCTGATGCAGCTTACTTGAGGGAGAAGCTATGAATGAGTGTCAGCGTTCTGATGTAAACTCTCCAAAGGGCAGAGAGGAGGCGGGGCAGTGACACACCATCTATAGAACTGTAGAACACTCGCTATGCTCTGCAGCCATGTGGCACTACAGGGGGAGCAGATCATCAGACAAGTCAGAGAGCTTCTAGACAGTGTATGTGGTTACATTGTATTTGAATGAAGCGTCCCTTTTAATCAGCAGCGGTCAGGTCCTACGTCTGCTTCTTGTATGTGAGTGTCCCGCTTGGCACCACATGGGATCTCTGCATTCTGTGAGAGGTGCCCCTGAGGTCCCTCTGGTGGCCATTCATATCCGGAAGAGGATTGTCAGACAGAAGCATGTTGGTCAGGTCCTGCTGGTGTAGCAAAGTCTGTCTCATATAGGTGAGATGATGACGCTTGGCGACCACTTTCTGCATCGCCGGACGCTGAGCAAAGTTCTTCAGAATGTTTATCTAGGGGAAAAAATATATAGTCATACCCTCCGCCACTTCCCTACTGCACATACTGCCCGCAGTTATACCCTCCTCTCCTGTACATACTGCCCGCTGTTATACCCTCCTCTCCTGCATATACTGCCCGCTGTTATACCCTCCTCTCCTGCACATACTGCCCACTGTTGTACCCTCCTCTCCTGCACATACTGCCCACTGTTATACCCTCCTCTCCTGCACACACTGCCCGCTGTTATACCCTCCTCTCCTGTACATACTGCCCGCTGTTATACCCTCCTCTCCTGTACATACTGCCCGCTGTTATACCCTCCTCTCCTGTACATACTGCCCGCTGTTATACCCTCCTCTCCTGCATATACTGCCCGCTGTTATACCCTACTTCCTGCACATACTGCCCGCTGTTATACCCTCCTCTCCTGTACATACTGCCCGCTGTTATACCCTCCTCTCCTGCATATACTGCCCGCTGTTATACCCTACTTCCTGCACATACTGCCCGCTGTTATACCCTCCTCTCCTGTACATACTGCCCGCTGTTATACCCTCCTCTCCTGCACATACTGCCCACTGTTGTACCCTCCTCTCCTGCACATATTGCTTGTCATCATGCCCTACATTGTCTTCGCAATCACATACTATCCGCCTCCATAAGCTTACCACTCCTCTCATACCACCTGCTGAGATTACTTCCCAACTTCAGTACATACTGCCCGCCATTTAGACATGTGCGATTCGTTTCGTTCCGAATCGAAATTCGGACGAATTTTCGGAAATTCGGACATTCGGATGCATCCGAATTCCGAATTACAGACATAACGAATGCAAACGAATCCGAATTTCCATTTCCGAAATTTCGGTAGCGTTCGCACGAACGTTCGTTTCGTTTTCTGTTCTTATTCGTTTCTTATTCGTTTCGTTCGTTGGAGCAAAGTGACATTAGAGGAGAAAAATATTTTTTCCCCCTCAAATGTCACTTTTGCTGCAAACGAATAAGAACAGAAAACGAAACGAACGTTCGTACTAACGCTACCGAATTTCGTCCGAATCCGAATTCCGAATCCGAATTCACTTTCACACCCGAATCCTGAAAAACAAAATAACACAAATCCGAATTTAAAACTAAACGAATTTTTTGGCAGTGCACATGTCTACCGCCATTATACACTCCACACTCCTTTCCTGCACATACTAGCAGCCATTATAACCAAGGCCACTCCTGTCCTGCACAGACCACCCACCACCGCACCCTCCACACTCTGCACATACCGGTCTTTGTCTTACCCTCCACATACTGCCCCATGTCATACCCTCCACACTCCTCCCCTGCACATACTGCACCATTTCATACCCTCCAGACTCCTCCCCTGCACATATTGCCCCATATCAAACCCACCGCACCCCTCCCCTGCACATTTTACCAACTCAAATCATTTTTAATATAAATTGTAATATATTCATCCTCATCCATTCTGAAGTGCAAGGTCTGCTTTATTCATCCCTGTTATAAATACTGATATGTAGGCCCACCTCCTCACCAAGTACAATGAACATCACTGTGGCACCCAGGTGATGATTACCTAAACCAACCCCTCCCCCCACCCTTCCCATTTCAGGCCAATATTCACCTTTTCTAGTCTTATGGGTTCACCGTACTCTTCCTTAAGCTTCTGCTTGGATTTTGTTTGCAGTATTCTCCACAGTTCCTCAGCTCCCAGGGAGTCTGTAAGACAAAAACACACAAACACAAGAAGAATGCAGAAAGTAGACATATTTGGGTCTAGACATACAGTATTTCTATGTCATCTATGGGGATGGTTCATCGATGATCATCTGCCCCGACATATGCTGGCCACTAGATGGAGCTGAGGATCACTGGGGGAGGGGAGACTGAGGAAATGCTTCCTCCTGTCTGCAGCAGACTGATGACATCATCTCAGCCTAGGCACAGTCACCGGACTGGCGTTCAAGCGCGGATTTTTAATTTAATGATAAAATATTGAGCATTGATCCTGTCTCTGTATACTGTGACGTGTCCTAGAATTTATAAACAATGACACTGACAGATGCACTGACATGGAATAATAAGGGACGTATTGGAAAACGATGGCGCCCAATAATAACGGCTCACTGGCGCTCACCGTATCACAATGCTGGAGGATAGGAAGAGACTCTACAGCCGGGTTTATTCCCATGGCTACACTGCGACAAAGCACCGCCGGGAGTTCATAATGAGACAACACAAACACTGATTTCCCTTTACATGGAACGCCTTGTAATTACAGGGGAACGTACAGGAAGTGGCACCTTTACCTTCCATTTCATCCAAGATCTTCTGTACGGACGGGCTCACGTGGAACTCCATCGGCGGAGGATTTAGGAAATAATCTGCGGTCTCGGGACCCAGAATGCTTCGGAGAAAATAGAAATGTGACACATGAAGGTGCAATTAAAGCTCAATTTCCCTCTCATACCGCTACCACCCTCCAGTCCTCCAATCAAACCCCCAGGACCCCCACCCGGACCCCTCTAGGTGTCTTCAGTCCGGTCCTGTGACGGGTAGAGGATTTTGCTTTGCTCCTGAAAGCAGCAGAGAGCAGCACCATGTTATAATAACACTGAGACCGCTCCCTACAGCCAGGGCCAGGTTAACATAGGGGTTACTGGAGCACAAGCTACAGGCCCACCACTGAAAATAGGTCCTGTCACTCACCGGGGCCTCGCAGGGCCCCAGCAGGGAGGGAGTGGCCACTTAATTAGAGAGCCACCTCTGCTGCTTCCCATTTGGCCGACAGACAGCACAAGGCCCATGATGCTTTTAATCTGGCCCTGCCTACAGCATTCCCCTATGAGCCCAGGCTGTGTGATGACACGTTCCAAGGGGGCGGGTCCTTGACGCCCTGACCCAGAGGAAAGCTTGGTTGCAGCAGAGGTAAGTAAAGCAAAGAAAGATTTTTTTTATTATTGTAACAGGCCTGTGAGTACTTTTTTCTCTGCAAGCCGGGGTTGGGCTTTAGTGCTCATTCATAGCGGAGAGGTTTGTGTATCATAAAAAAAACATGGTGGAGAGGAAGAGTGGATGACTTCACAATCTACACCACGTCCAGTCAAATAACCCCTTGTATCAGCAAAAGACTAATTAGGTCAGCTCTCTGCTCTCTCCTGCTGTCAGCATGATTCTTGTCAGCGGTGAATGCACAACTCCTGATTGGCCACCAAGTGCTGCCCCTCCCTTTCCCAGTCTGAGTGCTACTGTAAGTACATCCCTTGTAAGTGAAACGCGGTCCTTCGATGGTGACTGACCTGCACAGCTGCTGGGCGTAATCTGGAGCTGGACTAGACACCGCCTCCTCATCCTTATCCTCCTCTTCAGTCTCCTGTAGTGCCTCACAACGGCTGCTACAGAACAGGCTGGAGTCTCCTCTATGGAAGGACTTCTGGCTACTGTCCGCTTCTGTGTTCTGACAGCCGGCCATGGGAACCGCCCGCCACAGGAGAGACAGTAAAGTGCACCTGTCATAAGAGGAATACCCATATGTGACCTCTGCACTCATCATTTCGTTACCCGCCTCCCGGCTTCTTGATTGCCCGGGAGGCCGGCTCTATGCTGTTTGGCCGACTTGATGCTGATTGGCCGGGAATCCATCCAATCAGCGTTGAGCAGGGCCAAACAACGGGGTGTCGGCTTCCCGGCCAATCAGGAAGCTGGGAGGCGGGTTATTACCCGCTGCCTGGCTTCCTGATTGGCCGGGAAGCCGACACCATGTTCTGCCGGTCAGAGGAAATCTCCAGTTCCAGTATCGGGGGTAAGTATCGGCGCTCGTAGTCACTCAAATACTTGGTATCGGCACCAATACCGATACTTGTATCAGTGCGTCCCTAATTTATATGCTCGTTCCCTGCAGACGTCTCTAGAATTGTAACATTGTATCTCTTTACTATCATGTATTTCCTATGATCCTCGGCTCCATCTAGTGGCCATAATGAGGTATTTTCCTCATTCACTGTGATCTATGAACCTATTGAAGAACATTCGACCCGATAATACACTAAGAACATTCGACCCGATAATACACTAAGGCCTTGTTCACACCAAATGCAGAGCAGATCCGGTCAGGATTCTGCACACGCACGCTAGTCTTTAAGGTGCGTTTTTGACACGTTTTTGATGCGTTTTGGGGCTTTCAGTGCATTCCAGGCATTTGCATGCGTTTTTGATGCGTTCCAGAGCAGGTAAAATAGGGCTTGCTGCAGTTTTTTCACCTGCTCTGGAACTGCACGCTGCGATGTGAACTGGAGCAAAAAATACCATTGGAATACATTGGACGCAGTTTTGAACCGGTCTGCAACTGGTGTGAACAAGGCCTAAGAACATTCGACCCCATAATACACTTGGAACATTCGACCCCATAATACACTAAGAACATTCGACCCCATAATACACTTGGAACATTCGACCCCATAATACACTAAGAACATTCGACCCCATAATACACTAAGAACATTCGACCCCATAATACACTTGGAACATTCGACCCCATAATACACTTGGAACATTCGACCCCATAATACACTAAGAACATTCGACCCCATAATACACTAAGAACATTCGACCCCATAATACACTTAGAACATTTGTTTTAGCCCCATTGCTGGTACGCTTGCACACAATGAATGTACCGGCTATGGAAATGTTATGTATTAATAGGCCCCACATTGTGTATGAAGCCAAATCTTGTTGTTTTTGTGGATAGAATAGGGAAGGGTTAAATCCCATTTCATGTTATTTTTTTTTGCTGCCTGCGTACCATTGTGCAAACTTCCCTTCCCAGAGACACAACAGGAAGTCAGATGAAATTGCCCGGAGTGAGGGGAATGCCCCCAGTATGTCCGCCCTCGGCCCTCCATTGCGATGTGGCGGCCTCCTCTTACCTTGCAGAGCGTCTCCTCCGCGTGCTGATAGCAGGGAAGAGCCGAGTCCTCACCGTGCATGTTTTATACTGTCAGGGGAAGGGTTGTCATAGTGATCCGTGTCCTCCGATGGATCTGACGTCTCCTCTCCTGGTAATTATTAATAACATCAAATTCACAGCCGCTCTCAACTCGGTTCTCGGCCCCCTGCTGATGCAGCGCCGGGGTCATGGCACCAATGGGGGGGGGGGGTTCAGGCTTTGAAGCGATAACGTGGACAACAGCACGTCCATTGATCAGCTGTGTAAATCATGGGAATCGGGGGTGACAACCCTGAGAATGGGGCCATCTTTTCACGCACCCTACGGTGGCAACCATGGCTCGTCCACCAGGGGAAGGGCGTAGGGATTGTATCAATACCATGGGCTGTATCTTAGCAATTGCTGACCGCCTTCTAAATCTGACCATACACTATACAATCTATGCACAATGTACATGGCAACAGTCCAATCAATTTGGATCCAGTCAGGCTGGTGTTCTATGGAAAGCTCCAACTTGCCAAAATCTCCAACTACCTCACTGCCGGTACTTGCAAGTTGGAGATATCGACCAGACGATGTTGGACTGCAAAACACAAAGACTGACAGAGCTTCTGTGCAGCTGCATTTTATCAATATTCATCAGGTGGTAAAGTAGACAAGCATTCTGAAAACGCTAGGCGCGCATGCGCACCGCAACTGTACAGAGCTCCAGTCTTTCTGAGCAACGGAAGTGGGGTAGTTGAAGATTTCGATGAGTTGGAGCTTTCGATAGAACACCGGCTCTTTCGCTACATATACACTATATTGCCAAAACTATTGGGACACCCCTCCACATCATTGGATTCAGGTGAAATGTCCTTGCTACTAAATATTCCGCGGTCACCTGTTACTGGTATTATAACAAAGTGGAAGCAACTGGGAACAACAGCAACTCAGCCAGGAAGTGGTAGGACACGTAAAATGACAGAGCGGGGTCAGCGCATGCTGAAGCGCACAGTGCGCAGAAGTCGCCAACTGTCTGCAGAGTCAATAGCTACAGACCTCCAAACTTGGTGTGGCCTTCAGATTGGCACAACAACAGTGCGTAGAGAGCTTCATGGAATGGGTTTCCATGGCCGAGCAGCTGCATCCAAGCCTTACATCACCAAGTGCAATGCAAAGCGTGGGATGCCGTGTAATCTCTCCACCCAACGCTAATGTCAGCACTCACCTTCACTGATGTCTCTTAATCCGATCTTCTTTCCTGATGTTTTCATCTGTCCCTCCAGCGGTGCGGCGGGTGTCTGATCCAGCGCTGACTCCTCTGCCATTGCTGGCACTTCCTGTCCCACAGTGTCTGCATGCAGGTGCATGCGTCCGTATACTTACCTTGCGTCTCTCCTCGTCTCCCGCCCGAAAATCCGAACTGCGCATGCGCCCGCCCCAAGATGCTTTGTGGCCGCCCGAGCAGTTTCGGGTTTTCAGACAGGAGCGCGCGGCGAAGACGGGGTGAGTTTAAACCGCTGGTAAAACGTTTTGTTTTACAAAAAAAAAAACTTTTAGCATATATCTAATAACCCTTTAAGACCCCGTTCACATTGAGCGATTTATCGCGCGGTAATTCCCGCGATATCGCGGCAAATTACCGCGCGATATCGCGCTCCAATGCACTCCAATGGGAGGATTTAGCCGCGATTCAAGCTTGCTCAATGCAAGCTTGAACGCGACATCGCGCGGCAAATCTCGCGATGTCGCGCAATATGCAAATCGCGTGACAAACGCGCAATTTGCATATCGCGCAGTGGGAACAGGGCATAATACTCACCTGATCCCTGGAACGACCAACCTGCATACAGAGCGACCAACCTGCATACAGAGCGTGTCGGTTACTATTTAAAACCGGCGCGCTGTGTGCAGCTTAAGCCAACCCAATATTGAGCCCTACGGACTAAGACTGGGATGCCATTAAAGTTCCTGTGCGTGTAAAGGCCGGCGTCCCAATACTTCTGGCAATATAGTGTATATCTAATGGAAATGATACAATTACAATGTAACACGATTGGCTAGCTGAATGCAGATTGTACAATCAGATTGTGATGTGAATGGCCAGCATGAACCATGGTCGTCTTAGGCTTGTAAGCTCCTTGAGCGCAGGCAGTGATGGGAATGTACAGCGCTGAGTAAATTGTCGGCGCTCTATACATGGCTGTAATAGATATATAAAACAGTGTATCCATCCAAACACAGCAGGGATAGGCAACCATGGCCCTCCAGCTGCCTGTGGCTGTCAGAGTCTTGCAATGCCTCATGGGACTTGTAGTTCCACAACAGCAGGCGTGCTGAGATTGCCCTCCCCTGCTCTACGGTGAGGTCACCCTTCGGTGGAAGCCAGCGCCCTTACCCTTGCCGTCTTTGCAGTCCACTAGCCCCGCAGGAACACGAGCCCGCTGCTTATATCGGTCCGAGGTGTTGGAATCCGTAACTCAGCACTGATGATCTTCAGTTGGGATGTCAGTTAATAACGGCTCTCCGGGTTGGGTGATCGGTGGGCCGGTCTGGCGCACAATGCGGCTCTTTGACTCTCATGGCGTTACGCAATCACGGGGGAGTCCGTGCCCTTGTAGACTAATTGCTGCCATTAGCTTCTCAAGTGTGAGCCTATTAAGTGTCGCAATTAAGTGTGGGGGCCGCGTGTGTGAACTCATCGTGACCCGGGAACTAAGAAACCAAATACAAAAATATCAAATTGTATATGTTCCCTATTGGAGACGAGCGAATCAATGAGCCCCCAAGGGACAAGGCGGATAACCCAATGTAACCTGGCAGGTCCGGGCACAGAACTGGTGAAGGGGCATTGGAGCCAATACTTGTTCACTATGTCTGTAAAAGAATATATCAAGGCAACTGGACTCTCTGTATTTGTCTTAAAGACGTTTCGCTGGTCATCCGACCAGCTTTCTCAATTGGGAAAGCTGGTCGGATGACCGGCGAAACATCTTCAAGAAAAAAAACAGCAAGTCCAGTTGCCTTGACTTATTTTTTACAGATATTCCATGACCTGGACCAATGAGAACCTTCACACTGGTATCACTAGTTCACCTCCCGGACTGCAGCTCCCTTGCCCCACCACTAGGGGTCTCCATAATGATTAGAGCAGGGGTAGGCAACCTTGGCACTACAGCTGTGCTGAAGCTATAGCTCGTCACATGACCAACCAGACGACTGCTATTAATCCAATAAGTTCCAAATAATTAATGGGCGGGGGTCAAAGAGGGGGGCTGACCACCCAAGCTGGAGTTGGACTAGGGAACCTCCGGCCCTCCAGCTGTGGTGAAACGACAAATCCCATGATGCACATCTCCCCTGGGAGTCATGTCTGTGGCTGTGACAATCTTGCAATGCCTCATGGGATTTGTAGTTTGCCCGCAGCTGGAGGGCCCGAGGTTCCCCGCCCCTGCTTCAAGGAATCACTGCGTCTTCCATTGGGAAAATGATCGCTGATTGTTTGCACTGATTTTCCAAAGTGTGTAATAAGCAGCACTGGCGCTACTTCCCAGGCTGCAGCTCCCATACCCTGCCACTAGGGGCTCCCTATTGATTAGAGCAGGGGTAGGCAACCTTGGTACTACCAATCCCATGATGCCTCTGCTGCTTGAAGTCATGCCTGGGGCTGTCAGAGTCTTGCAATGCCTCATGGAACTTGTGGTTTAGCAAAAGACAACTGGGCAGGTCTTACACCGCTCAATGCACAAAATTGCTGTGTTGTCAGCTCACAACAGAACTTAGGAGCTGAGTGCATTTCGCAGAGAAGTATATACTGGACACTTTAAGTTAGGTCACAGTGCCACCCAGTGGCCATCACATGTCATTGCGCAGTTACGAGTATCCCGCAGTGAAACCGTGAAGCTGAAGCATGGGATAAATAAGATGTTGGATCATCGTGACAGCCATCCTCCTGCGAGCTCATTATCGGTGCACTGTGTGGAGATCAGCTTTGATTGATCGACGTAATTAAGATGTAATTAAGTCGAGCGCGTTGAACGCTTCTTGATAGAATGCGCTCAGTAGGGAATGAGCCACCGGCGAGCCTCGGAATACCGGACCCCATTGTGCACACATCCCCAGTATTCAAGTTGGCAAAAGGTTAGGAAAAAAGTTTCTGTTTAGCCCATTCAGGGCCCATTCACACCAGTGCGTGCGAGATGACGCAGGATCCTGTGTAGAAAGCGCATAGAATCAAGAGTCCATTATATTCTATGGAGCAGATCACACCAGTGCGTGCGAGCTATGACGCAGGATCCTGTGTAGAAAGCGCATAGAATCAAGAGTCCATTCTAGTCTATGGAGCAGATCACACCAGGGCGGGGGCGCTACGACGCAGGATTACGGCACGCTAAAGGCGTATAGTATTAAATAGACCCCCCCAGGTGTCTCCATTAGAAGATTTCACCGCTATTCCTGTTCTGTGCTGGGCATTACAGCGCCATAGACTTCTATGGAGGGTGATGGTCCTATAGGAGTCTATAGGGCCGCAGTGGCGTCCCAAGGGGGGTGCCACCATTGGAAGGGTGACACCAAAATGACTGACAGTCGGGCACTTGGTCAAGACGAGGACCGACAGTTGCTCGAGAGAGAGAGGAGGGGACCCGGCGGGTGATGTCCGCTCTCTCTGCCAGCGTCCATCACCATGATTGCCGCCGGCAGGTAACAGCTGTACCGCGTGTGACGTCACTGCGGGGTGTCACCCGGTACCTGCACCGGTATCACCACGCCTCGGGACGCCTGTGGGGCCGTAATGTGCAGGCGTGGCCAGGACAGTGAAAATTTGCAGCACTGGATGTGAACAAACAACGGAGGTCATGGCCATTAGACTGAGGTCAGTATTTATTTGAGGAGGGGGGCTGGTGGGTTGTGAGGTCGGGGTAAAGGGGCAAAAGGCATACTGGGACTTTGTCTTAAACTACAGTAATCCCAATAAGAACTTAAAGTGACATTAAACCCTCAGATTTTTAACATAAACCAATACTGTAATGTGCGCCTTACTGTAATCCATGTTTGTTTCCCTTCTCTTTGCTGCTCTTCCTTTTAAATCCTCATGTCTTCTCATGCTTCGGGAGAACTTCCCTTTTCAGCTGAGTGCCTCTTCCTGTAGTGCTGGCTCAGGTTACAAGCCTATACAAACTTATACACAGACACCATGTATCCATTCCAGAGACAAGGCAGTCAGCTGCAAAACAGAAGTTCTGCCCAGCATGAGAAGAGATACGGATTTAAAAGGATGAGCAGCAAAGAGAAGGTAAACTACCATGGATTACAGTAAGGCGCACATTACAGTATTGGTTTATGTTAAAAAATCTGAGGGTTTAATGTCACTTTAAGCTGCTTCTCTCCATCAATGGCGTCACAAGGGGGGTGCGGCTCGCAGTGGGTGACACCATCAGAGGGGGTGACATCAAAACCGATGTCAGTCATTTTGGTGTCACCCCCTATTAACAGTCGGGCACTCGGTCATGGACCTAGAGCCCGACATTGTCCCGAGAGAGAGAGAGGGGGGGCACCCGGCAGCTTGCTTTAGAGAGAAGGGGGGAACCCGAAGACATAACTGATCCCACCAGGTCAATAGCCCCACAAAGATGGCCGCCGGCAGTGAAGTACATTACCACAGATGCGTGATGACCTCGTACCACGGAAATGTGCAATCCAGCCCAAGAAGAAACACAACACTCAGGTGTCAATGGGCACTATTGTGAATAATGAGACTCTTCATGGTGGGAATTGTAGCACTTCGAGCCCCCCAAAAATGCTCCAGCCTAAAAGCGTAAAATTAACCACTTCAAGACCTGTATGTCCTAGTCTTGAAGCAGTGATACCGAGATCATGGTATCGTTTTTTTACAGCAGGCGATGCTTAATATGTTCAAGTGATCTGGGCAGCTGTATTGGGGCGGCTGCACCCCCATGTGGTTTTTAGGGTTCCCCTGCTCTTCTGGGGGACCCAGACCCACTGCAAACAGCATCAGGATGGAGAGTGAGAGCAGACTGAGGCACGTCCCGATCTTCTCTGTAATTAATCAGAAGCCGGTGACGCTTACACAGGCGGTCACATTCTTGTGCTTGATCATCTGTATTGGGGGGCAGGGGAGACATCAGGGGTCCAATAGACCCCTGATGTCTCCACAAAAAGAACCCCGGAGTTAATAAAAAATTTTACCTGGAGTTCTGCTTTAAAGCTTTCTTTTGCTATCAGGTCCTTCAAATCAAGTTATAATGAGGTTCCTCACCGCAACCAATCAGAATCCCTTTCACTCTGCTAAAGTAACATCCGATTGGTTGCTGAATGATTCCACAGACCAAGGGAGTCGTCTATACCCCGGAGTGGGCGAGAAAACTGCCTCGGTCGGCTTTAGGAGTTTCTCTCTTGCGTGTGGCCCCCCGAGGGGCTCTTTTGGCCACCATACCTCTCTTTTTGTTGAGTAAGAATTGTGAATGGAGTGACAAATTTGTACAAGTCACGGCTTCGGTGGTTGGACATGTGTCATGTACATACCGCTTTGACTTTGTATGTTTATGCTCTGAGCCTCCAGCCCCGGTGCCGCTCCCATCATGTGGAAAGAATATCGACTGATACAGGAAAGTCAAATAAAATGGTGGACCAAACAAAGTGAAATCATCTACAAGAGGGATCCTGCAGAGGTGACAGTGTAGGGATTGGCCACCTCGGCATTCCAGCTGTTGAAACTACAAATCCCATGAGGCATTGCAAGACATCATGGGGGATGCTCTGTAGTTCACATATGTAAATCAGGCATGGCAGAATCCTTGTGGGACCATTGGGCCTGCCCTCGAGGAGCGTGACGCGATGCAGAGCTTCATGCAAATATGAGTTTTGAGCAATTCCTGCAAAACACATCAGGACGCTTCTTAAAAGGAGAACTATGGGGTCAGGGCTTTTCCCCATAGTTCTCCTTAGGGTAACGGGAGGACACCAACTAGCGTCCTCCCGTCACCCTAGGCTCAGTATACCGCGAGCTGTAACTCGCGGTATACTGAGACGCCGCAGCTGAAGCGGATCCCGACAATTATGTCTGGATCCGCCCAGCTGCGTGAGTGACAGCTGGCTCTGCCTATCTAGAGGCAGAGCCAGCTGTACCCGCCCCCTCCCCCGTCCGATCCGCCAGTCAGCGCCGGCGGATCGGACAGGGGAGAATCCAGCCCCTCCCCTGTCACGGCTCTCGAGAGGTGAGCGAACGCCGGTATGTGTTCGCTCACCTCCCGATCTACTGAGCGACCTGTGACAGTCTCATTGTCACAGGTCGGCTAGAACTATGAGGTGAGTGAAAAGCACCCACCTCATAGTTCTCCTTTAACCATGCCGCCGCTGTGGCGTTGTTACATACATTAGGATTCTCAGTACCTGGAGTAGTGCGGTGCGTTTATTGCAGGATGGGAATATTTCAGTAGAGTAAGCTAGGAGCTGGAACTGACACCGCACTGGAGGCAAGTTAGTTCCTCACCCAGCAGTAGTCCTCTGCCGTCACCCAATGAGAACATGGACATTCACCCAGCTTCCAATTTAGAGTGTAACATATACACATTCAACCAGTCCCCAGCCCCCCCCTATTTGGGGATTAACATGGACACTAGGGATGCACATTTGGGCGACTACTTGTACTCACCCAAATGCTCCGATGCCTAGCTCGATACTTGAGCTTCCGGTATCAGGAAGCCGGGCAGCGAGTCATTACACGCGGCGCGGCTTCCTGATTGGCCGGGAAGCCGGCTCTATGCTCCCTCAGCACTTGTGACGAGGGAGCATGGAGCTGGCTTCCCGGATAATCAGGAAGCCGGGCACGTGTAATGACTTGGCTTCATGGTTGGGAAGCTGGCCAATCAGGCAGCAGTGCGCCGTCATGACGCGGCGCCCGGCTTTCTGACGGGCTGGGAAGTCGGCTTCATGCTCCCTCGTTACCTTGTGACGAGGGAGCATTGAGCCGGCTTCCTGGCCCATCAGGAAGCCGGGCGCCGCGTCATTACACGGTGCCCGGGTTCCCGATTTGCCAGAAAGCTGGCTCCATGCTTTCTCGTAGGCTTCCCGCCCAATCAGGAAGGCGGGCGTCATGTAATGACGCGTTGTCTGGCTTCTCGACCAATCAGGAAGCCGGGCAACGAGTCATTACACGGCCTCCTGATTGGCCAAAAAGCCGCCTGGCTTCCTTATGGGGACTTCCGGTATCGGTAGTCAATATCGGTGAGTACCGGAAAAAATATATCGGTACTCGATACTGAAAAACCTTTATTGGTGCATCCCTAATAGACCCATTCACCCGGCCCCCCCTCACCTGAATCAGAGAGACTCATAGACCACAAGTGCAGCGACATCACCGTATTCTATTCATAACCTCCACCGGTCCCATAACAGAAGAGGCCGGGGGAACCAGTCTGCAGGAGCCCATGCATCGCGCTCGTCATTACCTGATGGCGGTTGCAATGCAAAAATGTAATAAATGCACTTTTTTTTTTTTATCAATGTCGGTTATTATTTTTTTGCAGAAGGCGGACTATGCCTTTAAGTTCTTTTGGCTATACGGACGGTGAGAGGCTCCTTCATGACGCGAGCCAAACGCCCAACTGAAACCAGGTCACTGGGATTGGCAGCCAACCCCAAAATGGCGTCTATCACCAAAGTCAAATCTGAACCTTCTTTTTCGCCTTCCGTCACCCAAAGAACAAAGTGGCCTAAAAATAATAACGACATTGTGTCCCCTCCCCCGCCACCCCTCCTGTAACCATATCATGCAAAACCAATATAAAAATCAGGGGGAGATCAGAGCAATGAAGCGGCAGCACGGCACAAAAAGCAGAAGGATTCAAGACCACAGATCTTTATTAAAACAGACATGGCAGCTTTTGAAGATGTTAAATAGAAAAGATAAATTAACTCGTCACCTCCAATGTCCCTTCAACAATCGGCAATACAAAACTACAGCAAATATTTAAAAAAAGAAAGAATTGCATCCATCGATGGTAATCACAAAATTGAAACCCGTGCCTGCTGCCTGGGGGCAGAAGAGGAAGCCATTTCAAGCTCCTTGAAACGCCCCCCAAAAAAAAAAAAACTGCTTCTAGTTTCTGTATTCTGATTGGCCGTATCGGCATTCCCGTCAAAAATGAGAGGACAGGTACACTTTACAACACTTTCAGAAAAAAAAAAAATTATAGAAAAATATAGATTTTGTTTTTTCGTAGCACAACGGAAGGTTCACTTTTAAAAGAAATGAATAACGTACTGGTGTTTCTGGCCCGAGATAGGGTGAACTCCACACGCCAAAATTTCTCTTGCCCCTTCTCAACAAGAACCCAGTTCTTAAAAAAAAAACTCACGGCTTCCATTATCACTTGTTTATATACAATTTCCTGGCCTTGCAAATATCTGTGAATGTTCGTTCTGTGCAGATACATGCGTTCTTTAGCCGTTACAAGAGAATGGAGTTTCAATTTCTTTTTGTGAAATATCAAATGATGGCCACTAGATGGCATTGAGGAGCATAGAAAATGTTTCCTATGCTCCTTTAGCGCCATCTGGTGGCCATAATGTGATATTACATTCAAACAATATTTTGGCATATATTTGCCCAGAGTGAACGTTCACATATATTCGCTCATGGCCAATGGCCCTGCCAAATCTTTATCAATAGACTTGATAAAGGTGTAAGATAATCCTTAACATTCCCCACACCTTAGAACGGTATAAAAGCTATCCATGTCAGTTCAATTCTATTTCTATTCATAAGACTCATTAAATGCCGTTTTTGCTTCTAGTGTTTGGAAAACAGTCACATGACCGCTATTCATTGGTGTAGCCACAGGCTGAGGGGGTGGTGGAGACGGGGCCTTCTGGTGATCAGCAGCTTCCAAGTGTAGTACTAACCTCCTCAGCCTTTGATTGGACACTGAAGGAGCAGCAGCAGCAGACCAATAAGACCAGCTCTCTTCCCATTATGCCAACACTCCCTCATCCCTCCACCATTTAGGGCCCATTCGCATTTAAGAGATGCAGGAAACGTGCACTTTACCAGGTCTTAATGCAACCCACAAACTATGGTGTGGCGCCATTCGTCCTGAATGGAAGCCCAACGCACTGACAAAGTAATGAGCAACGCACATGTACAGGCCGGCCGTGCCTGTTTTTTTTCATGTGTTCAGGGGTACTGCCGGCCCATTCCAAATGAACGGGATGCTTTAATGCACTGCAACAGCCTGTGCAGAGACCAGGAGATAGATTCTAGTTGTGATTTACCCCGTGATCTCAGCAGATGTTCTGGAGGGTTGCTGCATACACTCCCAGGTTTTACACCCAGCCCTACGAGTTCTATGCATACGAAATGCCACCATGCAAATATGGAGCAGCAAAATCTACTCTCCAGTAAACATTGTAACAACTCAGAAGTCTACAAACCAAAAAAAAACATGTTCTCTTCGAGACAAAATCGATAAATGAGAATGTTCAAGCTGCTGTGAACATTCTACAACTCCGAACGGCTAGGGGCGACATTTCCCCACCCACTTTAAAATGGTTACCACCAACAGTCAGGCTTAGGGCTTGGGAACAAATTCTTACGCCCATCAACCCATATGGACTTCTTAAAGTGATCCAGGTAGACGCTTAAAAAAAAAAATGGATCTGAAAGTTCCTGGAATGAGAAGATCTACTGACCTCTCCGGTGGCCTGTGTCTTCTACGTCCCCTCCGTTCCAATGCCGCACTCTTCATAAGTGGACGCTTCCAAGAGTGCGAGATGGTCCTATTGCCCCGTGGTAAGCTGTGGCGTCTTCCCCCCACTCCTATGTCACTGCAGGACTCAAGGGAGCAGTGGATAGAACCACAGCCCTTGGTGGGGGGGGACACACACTCCCAGGACCACAGTGCTGGAACGGTGGGAAGAAAAGACACGCAGACCCCCTGGAGAGGTGAGCATACTACGTCTTCTCTTGCACTTTCCACATTCTAACTTCACCCTCCTCGTAGGGAATAAGGCCAAAGGATGCCAAAAAATGAATTTGGCTATATCATGGCCAATGATGATCATCACTGGTCATAAGCTAGCAAATATGGTGCGATCGGAGGACACTTATAAGGACTTACAACACCTCATATGTCTAAGGCCTCATGTCAGACCAGCACCGGGGTCTTTGCTGAGGAAGTAAAGCTGTGAACATATGTTTCAAAAGCTGTATCCATCACAAAATACATCTCCATTAACCTTCGTTGGAAGTCACCAAAGAAGCCGCATACTAGTTCCAGAGAAGAGTAGCAGAACCAATTCAGCAGAAGTCGTCGTAGCCTTGAAATTAGAATACAGTCTTCCTGTCGAGGACTGCAATAGAAGCTGCCAAGCCTGCAATTTACAAATTGAAGGAGCGCTCCTTTTGATGCCAAACATTGATCAGTGAAAAAACACCATGTAGGAAGGAAGAAGCAGCCCTCAACGCCAGAAGAACCCTCCAAAGAGGTTGGCATATCCTGGGCCAACTAACCTACACCCCTTAGATATTGCAGCCTCCTTTATTTGACCTGGTGAGCTAAGGTACCAATCATCGCCCACGAAGGAGCCACAGATGAGGGAGGCCATGGTTTCTTATAGTCTGCATCTGGTGCTGCTGCAGAAGGTTGGGGAGAACCTCCTGCAGAAGGTTGGAGAACTTCCTGCAGAAGGTTGGAGAACCTCCTGCAGAAGGTTGGAGAACCTCCTGCAGAAGGTTCTTCTGCTGTGCACCAAGGTTGGTGAACTCACTGCTGCTCACAGTGGTCCAATTAGTAGCAATAGTCTATTTTTAGTTTTAAAAGGGTTGTTTAATTAGAATTTGTTAAAAGGGGCACCCACTGCTTCTACATATAAGGTACCCCTCCACACTCCACCCAGTGGAGCATCCCATTTCTTCGCTCTGCCAATTCTCATCTATGGCTTGCAGCAATGTAAGGTTAACCGTCAAGGACCTTTGGTCCCAACTCCCAATAAAGTACTCTAGTCCCAAGACTGCCCTTCATCGATGCATCTGGGGATATTAAATGGTTCAATTGGTTGCCAAGTAGCAGCCACCAGCACCGATACTGGTTGTGTACCACATAAACCAATCCCCTTGCAAATTGGATGCTGGCTCAAACATCTTGAGGCTCAAAGGGCCGTGGGGTCCTTGACGACTGGCAGATTAGGCTCAAGTTGAGGTCACTCTGCTGGGGAAGGGATTCCATTTCAATAGAAGAAATGGGTACCTCTACACAAGAAGCGAAGAACCCCTTTTAATTCTCGAAAAGAGCAGAAGGAGACTAAGCCCTACCAGCCAAAACTCCTCTTCATCTTGCTCTCATTTCCCAACTGAACTATTTTGGGTTCCACACCTGTATATGAGACCAAGCCCTACCAGCCAAAGCTCCTCTTCATCTCGCTCCAATTTCCCAACTGAACTATTTTGGGTTCCACACCTGCATTTGGGATTTAACTTTAGCAAAGTCACCAAGCTGCTGTTAGGCCTACACTGGTACATTGTAAAACAGGTTCATACAACAGTCCCTAGTCAATTAAATAAAATAGCAAGGTAACAACTCATACAGAGAAGCAAAAATCACAGTGCATATACCTTAGGGGAAAAAAAAAAAGTCCTTAAAACTATTGCACAACATGTACATATTTTTCATTTATCAAAACTGAAAAAAAAGCCACAGAAGATTCAGAAATTTGGGCAGCCAGCAGCTTTCATTCTCAGAGATCACAAGAAATTTTGCAAAGCTCCAACGTTTGGAAGTGTGGCGAAGGAGGAAAAACAAGAACTGTTGTCTATTAAAAAAAAATAAAAAACAGAAAAACAAAAAAGAAGCAAAGAAACACACACACTTTATTGGATATTGAGTAAAAGAGGCTGGATTCGGAGTACAGGAGATAAGTTGACTTTTAGTATCTGCTGTGCTTTCCTCCGTACATCTTCATCAGAGGAGGCTTGGTCTACTTTAATAACTTTAGACTTCAGCAAATTGTATTTGTCTTTGTCGAGTGTCGGCTTTTTGGCCAACGGAATGAAAATTTTAATTTTCTTGTTGGGCAACGGTTCCTGGAAAGCCTCGGCCTGTTTCCGTTTCTTGTCCTTGCCGGCCAGTTGGTGCTTTTCGTCTTTGACGATGACGTCTATCTGCAGTTTAGTGTTCTGTTTGGTCTGGGTTATGCCGTTGTACCGGGAAGTCGAGCTGGCCAAGATTCTCCCGTTCAAAACCCCCAAGGTGTTGCAAGCATTGTTCTCCCTTAGGATCCTTCCATTGGCCCCGTTTAAAACTGTCCGATTCGGGGGCGATGTCTGTTTTATTAAACACTGATAGGCTTGGTTGTTTTTTCCCTTTGAGCTGGTTTTCGAGGCCGCAACCCCGGATCGCGGCTTAAGGCTGGCTTCTATGGAGGAAGCCGCCGCTTTGATGGGAACTATCGCTTCCAGCACAACGGACAGTCTCATGGCAGGGTAAACTCCGGGATACATGTCTGAGGGAAAATCAACAGTCGAAACTTTGGATTTCCTTAAGCTTGCCTTTTTCAGGGAGCTCAACAGCAAGTTTGGGGACTTTTTGGCAGGGGGCTTGGATGAAATTTTAGTAGCTTTGACAGAAATATCCACGGTAGAGTTGGACACCTTGCCGTTTTGGTTTTTGGTTTGTGTTTTAGAAGAGGACACCGCGGGAGTGGTTTTGGAAGGGGCTTTAGATTTTGGGGGTGGCGTATTCGCAGTGGTTGAGTTGTATCCATACACATCTTTGCTGCTCAGAATCGTAGGCTGGTAGCCTTCTTCCCGGAGTCCTTGCAGAAACGTCACCAGCTGTGTCTCTGTGTCGGTCAAGTCTTTGGACATTGGGTTAAAGACCCTCAAAGCTTCCTCAAGGGCACTTTTCCCAACGGAGGAGAGGCGTGACCAGGAGTGTACGGCCTTCTTCTCCATGTGGTCATTCATGGCATTAGGTGGCAGTGTCTGTCGGCTTAACTTTGCACTGAAATGAAATGCACAAAAATACATTTTATTCAGGTCATCTTCAGGACATCAAAAAAGTTCTCAAAATGTCAAACTCGGCAGAAACATAAGACGGCATGAGCAAAACATATCTGGGAAGGGCTACAACTAACTTAAAGTACCTAACCCCCCTCATGACCATGAAACCAAGATGCTCAGACCAAGTTTAGCAGCTTTATATGCATTGATTAATGTGGCAATAACATTAGGACTACTTTGCCATCATCTCTACATTCTAACAACGCTTTAATTTTGGTATAAAAAAAATACTCCATTTATGCTTTTATTAAAGGCTGACAAATGGACAAAACATTTTCTTACTTTAAAAGCAACAAATTGTAAAAAAATTATGATATATACATACGGGGCTGGACGAACCCCAGGAGCCAGGCAGATCCCTAAAATATTACAGCTGGCGCCTAACTTTTGAGGTTCTCTCCAGTTGTTGTCAGTGGAGCTGGCTCCTGGTTTGGACGGACTAGCTCCAGAATTTCAACCTCTATTGTCTGTCCCTGTGATCACATGACTGAGGAACAATGCGAATGACCTGACCGCCAATGTAGAGCTTCACACCTGCCTGCGCCTACATCACCGGGACCTGCTTGCGCCTACATCTCCGGGACCTGCTTGCGCCTACATCTCCGGGACCTGCTTGCTCCTACATCTCCGGGACCCGCTTGCTCCTACATCTCCGGTACCCGCTTGATCCTACATCTCCGGTACCCGCTTGATCCTACATCTCCGGTACCCGCTTGATCCTACATCTCCGGTACTCGCTTGATCCTACATCTCCATTACTATCTTGCTTAATGTTCTCATGGCACCGAGAACTGTGCCCAAGACCATTAAAAAGCCACGGTTGCCAACATAAAGTTGAAAAGGCAGCTGTTATCTGAAAAGAGTAAATACTTACCTTTCCTGCTGCCCATGCCACTCCATTGGTGAGGAACCATCCTCTGAGGTTGTGTCAGCCCTACTCCGAAGTCTACTTGGAAGCAGATGCTCCAATTAGTGCCGATCTCCCGGGTCCCTCACTGTGCTCATGGTTCCCCCCGCTGAACTCCACATTACTACTGAGCAAGAAGGTGCTCCTGCAATGCTCTCCTGCAATACACCCCTGCAAATTGTTCCCAAGGAACTGCAAAATGCCTTCTGTAATTAAACACTAGCAATGCTAACAGCAAAGTATCTTGATTTCCAAAGACATTTCCCCATACAAGTGAACAAATAACTAACTGGCTGCTATGAGTTCCCCTTTTCTTCACTTTTTAGAAGTGTCACTTTAAGGACAGTACAATCACTGGGTTCTATTTGCTTATCAATGCAACCTAACACCTACTATAGTACATGCAGATGGATGAACAATCAAGCCCTTGACCAAACCGAGTCCCAGTTGTCTCCAAAGATGCACAACTGTGTAGCAGCTGGTCAAAGCCATAGCTTATGGTCACTCCAGTCTCCAGATTTGGTTGGCTGTGGGCGATCAGACCACAGTGCAGCTGAACGAACAAAATCACATGACTCCCCCATCCATCCATGATAAATAGGGTAGGTGGCTACTATATTAGGGCAACCGGCACCTGAACAATGTCTTCAGCTGGTTCCAGTCACTGTTCAGCTGGCACCTCTCCACCCAGTTTCTTCAATTTTTCAATTGAAGTTTGAGGATCTGGGTGGTGTGGACAGGGCCACCAACAGTTCACATTTTTGCCAATTCTGTAGAAATCTGCCATAACTGGACCCGTGTTTGGCTACCTTAGATCTCCCTGTAACATAGGTGTATTACCTGGTGCTATGGTCAGTAAATGTTACTTTTCATCTTCCTTTTGCAGGCTGAACTGTCCACAGAAAGTGGCAGAGAATTGGGCCAAACCATTTACCACCGACGGGGGACAAACTACTATGTCTGACATACTACCAAAAAATATGTATTACACAGATGCCAATAGCGGGTTGTTGTCTGCATATTGTCACATTTCTTTGCATTTGTTGCCTAGATAGTATCACCATTGCCCGTCTTCTGTAAATATTGCTAGTTTGCTGCCTCCATATTATAACAGTTGGCTGATTGTTGCCTGTATATTGCATACGACTGCCCATTTGGGACCCGTTTGTTGCTTACAATTGAGAAGTCCCCGCTGGTTAGAGGATCATATTACTAGAATGGAGTCCCCGTAGGCCCGTCACTATCAAAGCACACTGCTATTACATTTTTGTTTTGCACTACATGCGGCAACTTTAACTGACTTTAGCTACCTATAGAGACATATGCAGGTTGTGTAGTCCTGGATCCTAGTTCTGGGTGACACTGCTAGAGATCACTGTAATTACAGAGCAATAGGGAAACACAGATAAGGAGCGCTTGGGCTCCCCAGACTAGAGGTTGGGCATCAGAAGTTTAAATCAATCTCTTTTCTATCATAAAAAAAGTTTGTACAGATCATTTTGTGGCTCTTCCCTTTGGAGTTATTGGCCATTTATCAGCATAAACAGTCATGTACATTTCTTCATCTAAAGCAGGTTCGGGCATGTAAAGCAACGAGATGTCCTGATCAGGAGGTGATGATGGTGGGGCAACACCATCAGTGTTAGAGGTTGTGTGTCTACAGACTATGGTCCTGATGCAACCAATGGAGACAACTGGATTCATGGTGGTCATACAAGCGATGGAGACAATTGGATTGATTCATGGTGGTCATACAAGCGATGGAGACAATTGGATACATGGCGGTCATACAAGCGGTGGAGACAATTGGATTCAAGGTGGTCATACAAGCGATGGAGACAATTGGATTCATGGCGGTCATACAAGCGATGGAGACAATTGGATTCATGGCGGTCATACAACCGATGGAGACAATTGGATTCATGGCGGTCATACAATCGATGGAGACAATTGGATTCATGGCGGTCATACAGCCGATGGAGACAATTGGATTCATGGCGATCATACAACCGATGGAGACAATTGGATTCATGGCAATCATACAACCGATGGAGACAATTGGATTCATGGCGATCATACAACCGATGGAGACAATTGGATTCATGGCGGTCATACAATCGATGGAGACAATTGGATTCATGGCGGTCATACAACCGATGGAGACAATTGGATTCATGGCGATCATACAACCGATGAAGACAATTGGATTCATGGTGGTCATACAACCGATGGAGACAATTGGATTCATGGTGGTCATACAACCGATGGAGACAATTGGATTCATCACGGTCATACTCAGATATATCAGTATTACAGTATATATAAAGGAAATAGGCTCCTTTATTTCTACATAGTGTCCATATACTGATAAAAAAACAACAAACTATAGACTTGGACAATATAGTGTCCATACACTAAAATAATAGGATACCGAACGCCGATACAGCTTTACAAAAAGGTTCTACTGTCACCCCTACGACTAGACAGCCTCCATATAACTATGTAATAGGATATATAATGTCTAAATACCTGTATTTCAGAATAAGGCCTACAGTCACCTCTACGGCTATAGATCTATAGACTAGGTCCTAGTCTATAGATGTATAACTCTAGAGGTGACTTTAGGCCTTATTATATAATAATGGATTGCAGACATTATATATCTGAGTCACTAGGATACATGAGGTCTAAAATCCATTATTATATAATAAGATCTACAGTCAGCCCTAAAAGTATCTACAGAATAGAATATACGAGGTCTATAATCCATTATTATATAATAAGATCTACAGTCATGTGGTCTATAAACCATTAATAGATTATTGGATATATAGGGATCCATTTTTTAATTTGCGCACTAGATTGACAACTTTCACCCAGGAATATCTCCAATCTACAGTCCTCTCTATAGGTATCCGGACTTTATATATACTATCACAGAGGCATTTAGACATCTCCTAATATATTTATAATGGTATATATAAAGTCTGTATACCTGTACAAAGATATACAATATATACACACACCTATATTGCCGAATAAAGTCCTGCCACCTCTATGACTATGTCATTTCTAAACGCCTGTGTATGTGGATATATATATATTTATTTTTTTAATTTAAGGTATGCACCGATACTAGTATCTGTGCCGACACCGAGTATTTGGGCGAGTACTCGTCCAAATGCTCCGACACAGAGATTTCCTCTGACCGGCAGTGCAGCGAGGGAACATGGAGCCGGCTTCCCGGCCAATCTGGAAACTGGGCGGCGAGTGATTGGCTGGGAAGCCAGCTCAATGCTGTTTGGCTGGGGAGCTGGCTCCATGATGGCATAGTACCGGTATCGCCGAGTACCGAAATATAAATAACGGTACTTGATACCGAAAAAATTTGTATCGGTGCATCCCTAACATATTCCTCTATCATTGTATCTCTAGTCATCTCTTCTCCTATACATAGATCCGGGTCTATATTGTGTCCCATATAACTACATAACATGGGGTTGCACAGAATATGAGGGGTACATAACATGGGGAGAGGCACAGGATATGAGGGGTGCATAACATGGGGTTGCACAGATTATGAGGGGTTCATAACATGGGGGCACAGAATATAAGGGATACATAAAATGGGGGAATGGGGAAAAGGGGTGTATAACATGAGGATAAAGAGTGTGGGGGGTTAATAACATGTGGATGCAAAATATGAGGGGTACAT